GTAAATTACTGCTTTTTTACATTCACTGAATCTCTCCGTCTCCCTGCACAATGTAAGGGGACTCGAGTACAGTGATGAGCCAAGACAGGTGTTACCCCTTCTCCCCTAAGTTCACACAGCTCAGAGGAGCAGACAGTCAGGCTAGCCGTTGCAGGGAGGTGTCCTAAGTGCCCTCCTGGGAAAATGGGGAGGGCTGGCACCCACATTAGACTAAATGTTCAGGGAAGGTGATCATGTCCTTCAAAGGGGATATGATATGTAAACAGATTCTTAAAGAGTAAGCCAGTTCAAGAATGCCAAGTTGGGGATGAGAGGGAGGTTCTAGTAAAAGGGCTAAAGCCAGCTGGCACGTGGCCCATGAACGAGGCAGACATAAGGCATATGATGATTTCAGTGCAACCAGGGATGAGTGAGTGAGTATGAGGTGGTGGATCTGGCCATGTCTGATGGGAACCTGAGCCGATATTAAGAATTTGTCTTTAGCTTATAAGCCACTCTGTCACATTTTTCAGGGTTCCACTCAGCATCACAGTCCCTGGTGTGCTTGTCAAAAATGCAGACTCCTGGTGTCCATCCCAGACTGAAAGGAAGGACTGCTGGGTCATCTTTCTCATTTCCACATTCTCCAGGGGATTCTCAGCCTATGAGGATTGTGATTGGTGTGAGTCAGGGCTCCATAAGTTTGGTGCTGATGTTAGGCTACTGTCAAGTCTTCCTCACTACTGCACTGTGGCTATTTTATGTTTTTAATTGTGCCCAAGATTGTATCATGGAATTAATTATCAGCACTTTTAGTATAGAATATAAGGTAACTTTCATTTTTGTGTGTGTGTTTTTGTTATTTATTTTTTATTTATTTTTAAAGATTTTTTATTTATTTTTCAACAGAGAGAGAGACAGCGAGAGAGGGAACACAAGCACGGGAAGTGGGAGGGGGAGAAGCAGGCTTCCCACTGAGCAGGGAGCCCGACGTGGGACTCGATCCCAGGACCCTGGGATCATGACCTGAGCTGAAGGCAGACGCTTAATGGCTGAGCCACCTAGGTGCCCTCTTTCTGTTTTTTATACTGCTTCCTCTGTGTTAACAGTTCACTGTTATTTACTGGATTATATTTCTATGGGAGATTCATCCATCCAAAAGACCATGAAAGAAAGACACACATGTTAAGACAACAGGTGTAAAAACATGGGCTCAGGTGGCTGTGGAGAGCGGTTCACAGATAATCCCAAAACCTCTGAGCCCTTGTACTTCTGCCTACTTAGCTGCAGTTTGCCTTTATTGGCTCAGATGTAAGTAATTACAGCAGTGACTCAAGTGTGAAAACGACACTCATTAACACATTTTTGCCTCTCAACAGTCCTAGGAAGGAGTCAGGGCCATCAATCAGTTTGTACATCACCCAGCATAGAGGGGAGCCTGGCTGGGGCCCCAGCAGGCTGAGACCAGAGCCTTGGCCTTGACCTCTGAACCATATGGCCTCAGGAGCACCTGGTTCAACATTCTTTTGGCCTTAGTGCACAGCATTTGATGATGGTGATGGTGGCAGTGATAATGATAGCAAGGATGCCACTGACAATTGTTTCTAAATCAAATGCTTGTATTTAAAATGTAGACTGAATGACTTCTCGTCAAAAATAATTTGTTCCTTTATATCTCTAGATCTCAATGTACCTTAAGATATGTCCTAATTCTTTGAAACTTTTCAAAAACAAAGCACATCCTATTTATAGGAAAACCAGTAATGAAGCTACATAATTTATTCTAGGAAGCCCTAATATTTTGAAGCTTGTAGAGTTTTGCAGTCCTTAGGCATCGATCATCTAAATCTGATGAAGAGACCTGAATTGTTTTTCTATTTCTTGGGAGTAAATGTACACACTCTAGATACCTGAGTATATATTTTAAGCATAAATGTTTCTATTTATTTGGAGTCCCCATGATGCTCAGAGTCTGAGAGTTGTCAGATTACAAATCCTCTTAAAAATAAAGAGCAGGAGGGGTGCCTGATGGCTCAGTTAAGCAACTGACTCCTGGTTTCAACTCAGGTCATGAGATCAAGCCATGCCTCAGGCTCTGTGCTTAGCTTGGGGTCCACTTGGGACTCACTCTCCCTCTGCCCCTCCCCCCTGCTCACTCTCTCTGTCTCTCTCAAACAAATAAATAAAATCTAAATAAAGAGCAGGACAGAGCTCTTGCTTTAGCTTTTCTCCAGTGTTTCCCATAACAACCAAAGTCCACCAAATGGTGAGGCCTCTGGGAAAAAGAGATGAAGGTTGCTTTTGAGACCTTTAGAAGGATGAAGAATTAAAGGATATAATCTATTGGTGAAACAGACAACTAGATCAATGAAACACAATAGGGAGCACAAAAGAACACACACACAAATACAGTCAATTGATACTTGACCAAGGGGCAAAAATAATACAATAAAAGTATTTTCAACAATGAGAGGGCAGGTAACAACTGGAAATCCATATATAAAACAAAACTGAATCTAGACACAGACGTTATACTCCTAAAAAACTAACTCAAAGCACATAACAGATCTAAACTATCAAACTCCTAGAAGAAAACACAGGAAAAAAAATCTAGGTGACCTTGAGTTTGACAATGACTTTATAATATCAAAGGTAAGATCCATGAAAGAAGTAACTGATAAGTGAACTGGATTAAAATTAAAAATTTCTGCTTTGTGAAAAACACTGTCAAGAAAATGAGAAGACAAGCCACAAGCTGGGAGAAAATATTTGCAAAACACACATCTTCTAAAGGACTTATTCACAATATATAAAATATTTTAAAAATCAACAATAAGAAAATGACCAACTCCATTAAAAAATGGGCAAAAGATCTGAACAGCCACCTTACCAAAGAAGATACAGGTAGAAAACAAGCATATGAAAATATGCTCAACATCATATGTCATCAGGAAAATGCACGATTAAAAAAAAAAAATGAGATACGCTATGGGCCATTAGATTGGGGAAAATCCACAATACTGAGACCGCCAAATGCTGTTATGGATATAGAGCACCAGGAACTCTTAATTCATTGCTGGAAGGAATACAAACTGGTGCAGCCACTTTGGAAGATAGTTGGGAAGTTTTTTACAAAATTAAACCTACTCTTACCATGTGATCCAGCAGACATGCTTCTTGCTATTTATCCAAATGAGCTGGAATATGTACGTCCACACAAAAACCTGCACGTGAATATAGCAACTTTATTCATAATTGCCAAAACTTGGAACCAACCAAAATGTCCTTCCAGGGGTGATGAATAAATAAACCATGGTATATCCAAACACTAGAATATTATTCAGTGGTAAAAAGAAATGAGCTCTCAAGCCTGTGAAAACACAGGGAGGTGCCTTAAATGCCTGATACTAAGTAAAAGAAGCCAATCTGAAAAGTACATACTGTGTGATCCCAACTATACTACATTCTGGAAAAGGTTAAACTATGAAGACAGTAAAACAATCAGTGGTGGGCAGGGATGAATAGGCAGAGCACAGCGGATTTTCAGAGCAGTGAAAATACTCTGATGATGCTGTAACGGTGGATACCTGTCATTATACATTTCTGAAAACCAACAGAAGGTATAGCACCAAGAGTGAACGGTAATGTAAACTAAGGCTTAGGGTGATAATGATGTATCAGTGTAGGTTCATCAGTTATAACAAATGTACCACTCTGGTGTGGGATACTGATAGTGGGGGAGGCCGTTCTTTCGTGGGGACAGGAGGTATATAGGAACTGTATTTTCTGCTCAGTTTGTGATGAACCTAAAACAACTCTAAAAAGTATCATTAGAGAAAAAGAAAGGGCATCATGTGTTTTCCTTAATTGTATCTATATGATTTACCTAATTAGAAAAGATTCTGTTAGAAAGTCCTGCCTCAGTTAGGTTTATATTGACTGGCATCCAGATAGACCAGGGTGTGTCTTTTGATTTATGTCACTGATGAGGTTATCAACTGCCTAAGATAAATCACCTTCAAGGGCGCCTGGGTGGCTCAGTTGGTTAAGCGACTGCCTTCGGCTCAGGTCATGATCCCAGGGTCCTGGGATCGAGTCCCGCATCGGGCTCCCTGCTCAGCAGGGAGTCTGCTTCTCCCTCTGACCCTCCCCCCCTCATGCTCTCTTTCTCTCTCATTCTCTCTCAAATAAATAAATAAAATCTTAAAAAAAAAAAAGATAAATCACCTTCAAAAGGGTGATTTATCTAGAGTGAGAAAGAAACTCTGAGGTCCTTTGTGTGGTGGTTGCATCCTCAAAGAGTTGGCTTCATTAGCTTTTCCATCTATTTGGGTTTGGGTAAGTACTGGATAGAATTTTTACCAGGAAAGAAGACTCCTATATTTCAGGGAGGAAGTTATAATCAGAAAGTGATGGTTTATCTGACTGCAGGCACTTGCGGGCAGGTTTCCTTACCATGGACATAGAATTTTTCTCTATTATCACTCAGATGTAATGGTCACAGGGAAACTTGCCTAACTCCACCATATATAGGTAGATTTTTCTGATTTAGAACTTTGAGAGGACAGCATAAATAAATAACAAATTCCATGAGTGACATGAAAGAATAGTGGTTCTATTTAAAAATGTCAAGGCAGAGGGCAAGGGAAACATTTTGGTTGTAGTTTAATGAAAGTATCTCTGTGTAACGGAGATTGAAACTGAAACTGGAGTAGAAGGAGTATGGGGTGGGAAGTTTGTGGATGGGGGTGGAAATGAAGAATTATAATAGTGCCAGGTTAGAAATAATAGCGGTGTGTTTGTTTGGTAAAGGCATTTAAAATGTAATACCCGGGGCGCCTGGGTGGCTCAGTTGTTAAGCATCTGCCTTCAACTCGGGTCATGGTCCCAGGGTCCTGGGATCGAGTTCCGCGTCGGGCTCCCTGCTTCTCCCTCTGCCCCTGCTTGTGTTCCCGCTCTTGCTGTCTCTCTCTCTCTCTCTCTCATCAAATAAATAAAATCTTTAAAATAAATAAATGTCAATACTCAGATGTAGCCAGCCATTAACTAAGATTCAGACAAAGGAGTAATTTCTGTATTTGGAGGGATGGAGTTATTGTCTCAAGAAGTACTTCATTTTAGGTGTAAGTTTGCAAGCAGAGATGATCACTCAGAAATGGGAATCCAGAAAAGAAATTGGTCACTTTCAATTTAGAGACAGCAATAGAAAAAATTGGAACAACTGAAGAAATGCATGAGCCTGCCAGGACATGGTATAAAAGGAGAACAGGCTCTCACAATAAGTCTTGAGACATTCCAAGAGGATTGAGGAATTCTTTACAGAGGACATGGGAGAAGGACTGATTATAGAGGGGAAGAAGCTCTGAAAAGGAGGTCAAGGTTTAACTCCTCTTTGTTTCCATGTAAGAATTTATTTATGGAGAGACAATCAGTGATGTTAACAATATATGGTGGTGGCCTTTTTAAGTCAAAGGGAGAGGAGGATGTGAGTGAAGGACAACTGCATTTCCAGTTTGATTTTGAAGGGAGGTTAGAAGGGCAGGAACTGGAGAGAAAATAGGTTCAGAGGAAATTTTTGCTTCAAGTTACAAGAGAGATAATGAACTTAAATGATGGGGGATTGATTGTAGAGAGATGGACAGGTTTTTGGGAAAGGAGATTTAATTTACAAACAATAATATAGTTCTCAACAAAACAGGAGAGAAAGGAATTCCGTTGGAGACTTTGGACTTAGAGGTAGCACGACTTCTATTTGATGGGAGGAAAGGAATAGCCAATGTATATGAATGTAGGAATATTTGTAGAGATTATGATGAGAAACTGAGTTAGTGTGTCACCTTATGTAATTCATCTCTGTTATATACTGAATTTTGTGTTCCCAAAAGTCAAATGTTGAAGTCCCAACCCTCAGAGTGTATTTGGAGATTGGGCCTTAAAACTGGCAATTAAGGTAAGATGAGGGCATTAGGGTGGGCCCTAATCCCGTTTGAGTGGTGTCTTTGCGAGAAGAGGGAATTAGGGCACAGACATGTGGGATGGCCATGTGGAGACAGGGAGAATGGCAGTCTACGAGCTAAGCGGGGGAGGCCTTAGAAGAAACCAACCATGGCGATATCTTTCATATCCAGCGGCCAGAATTGTGAGAAAATACATTTCTGTTGTTTAAGCCCCTCAGTGAGTGGTATTCTGTTACAGCAACCTTGGCAAACTAACACAGTATGTATAGTAGGGAATAATCTTACCTCTTGAAAGGTGAGAATGTGTAGCATCAAAAGGCATGGGTAAGATTTGAAATACTTACGGGAACATGGAAAACTGATTTAGAGTTGCCAGACACATTCGAAAACCCCTAGGAGTAGTAGTTCTGTTTTTAGACCAGGATCAACTTACTAGCCATGTGTGTCAGATGCAGTCACAGGAAAGGCGGGTATGTGGAGTCACCTGCTGTTGAGGTCTTGATGGGGAAATGTGGTTAATTAATAGTGCAGGGAACATAGAAAGTGCTGGTCCTGGTAAGTGCCTGTTAAAATGAGTCAGTGTGGATTAAAGTGGGTAGGAAAAATGAAAAGGGAGAAAGCCTGATGTTTGAGAAGTGGTCAGTACACGGAGCTTCCCGTTTACAGAGAACTGAGTATGGGGTGTAATTTCTGTGAAGAAGTAAGGAGAAGAAATTGTAATAATGGTAGGACTTCTGATTAGGTCAGAAATGATGTGATATTCCAGGTAAAACCTAGGTGTGGTGGGTAATCCTTAAGGAATTTGAGCATAGGAGAGAGGGAGAGCAAAATTAAAATAAAGATAGGTTATTTCCTAGCTGTGTAACTTTGTTACATTATTGAAGTTTTTTGAACCTCTTCTGTTCATTTGTTAAACTGGTAAATAAAACCACCAGGTTTATTGTGAGGATTAAATAAACGAATACATGTAAATATCAAAGTAGAGTCACATTTGATACAAATTTCTTTTTTTTTCCTTTTTCTGGACCTCAGGTACAAATGGGTGAGTTAATCTTACTCTTGTTTATGACACATTATCATCATTTTCCCATGAAATACATTTAACTGTTGGTATTTTAAGGGAGAATTTACAGTTTATACATGCTTTCTCACTGTGTGTGTGTCTCACACACATTTGTGTGTATGTATGTAAATGTGCGTATACATATACATACGTGTGTCATAATGAAATGCAGGCATAGTGCAGCTAATGAAGATTAACATAGAACAGGATTTCAAGGACTTCAGTTACCACTTTACTAAAATAATCAGGTAGAGCAACTAGATTTCCTCCCGAACCGCAGCCATTCTGTATTATCTGGACGTCCTTGGAAGAGAGGATTGGGACAGTAAATGACAGGAACATTCTGACCCATATATTCCTCCTTTCTGATGCAGGGGAATTTTAAGGACCAGACTTGCAGAATGAGTGCCACTGATCCCTCCAAATGGAATAAGTCCTTGAATTGATGAACCCTATCATAAAATAGATTTGGCAATCCAAATCCATGGGCAAGGGAGAGTAGGAAGAGAGTGTGGCTCCAGAAGGCTACCGTGGATGCTGGGGAACCACTGCTTGGGTATGAGAATAATGAAATCTGAGCAATTCCAGTGTTTACGTACAGATGGAAACAAAAATCGACGTGAGGCATGAATCCGGGATCTCGAGGCTTTGGAATCAGGGAGGGAATTAAATAACTCTGGATGCTGTGGGCTAATTAACCTATACAACTCAATACTTTCAATGTTCTTATTCATAAAATCTCTATATTTTTTATTAGTAACTGTAGTCCTAGTCTTCTTTTGACCATGGGAGAGGAAGCGAGTCCTCTGATTTTCTTGTGGACTGCACTGCATGTTTGTTGGTTAGGCTGGGGGTCACACCGAGGTAAGGTTTGGGGCTTCGTGACAGGTGAGACTGGAAATTGTGCACAGGACGGGAGTCTCATGGCTTCTTTCTCCATCCTCAGCTTTGCCCGCTTAGTGCTTGGACTGTCTGCGAGTGAAAACCCAGAGAAAGGCACCTGGCAACTGAGTTATTGACAATGCAGCCACTGGTGAGTAGGGAAGCCTCTTTCTGCTGAAATAACACCCTCGTGCCATCAGATGGGCGAGTTTTTCCTTTTGGCCTGAATGTTCAAGTGCAGTCAGGAAGTCCTCAGGGATCTGAGCTCCCGTGAGATTTCCCCAGAACTCTGGGATGGTTATGATGAGTCAGAAACTCCTCAATAACTAGTAACCTTCCTAATATCGCACTAGTTTATCCCAGCCTTCATTAAGCTTGTGTATTTACAGAAAAGAAGAAAGAAGTTTGCTTTCTCAAACTCAGTCCATATCCTCATTGGGAAATAATTCACCCATTAATCATGGTGTTGGCTCTAATGCTCCTTTCATAAAGGGTTGTGGTGAAGAGATGAGCAAGGAAGAGAATACTGTGGTCCGACAGAGAGGCCTTCCCAGGAGTCCAGTGTTTCAGGTGCCGGGTGAGGGCTGTGGAGCGTTGAAGGGAGTATAAGAGAAGTTGAGGCCACAAAAGGCATGAGGGATCACTCATATTTTCCCAGTTTTAAAATTTTGAGAGGATATATTTGCACTTTTGGAAACTTATCATTCTTGCCCCCAGTCACATATTTTACCTTTTTGTAATTAGTGTATAGGGACTATTAAGTCCATAATTGTGGCTATATATTCAGGAGAAGGGTATACAGTAGAGTAAAATTTAAGATCCTGCAGAAACTTTTTAAGAACTACATAAAGCAAAACGAGTCAAGAGGCTTCTCTTCTCCTTTAGTAGAGGGACAAGACAGGTGATAACTGGTGTCTAAGGCTCAGAGAAAATGAGGAGTCCTCGTAACACGGGAGCAGTCAGGCTAGGACCCTTCAGTACAGCTGTCTCAGAGGTTCCAGGCTCGTACGGCTGAGCCTTCTCTTCGGACCTCGCACCTTATTATGAACACCTGAGCCTGCAGAGTTGACAAGACTACACTGTGTATACTGAGTTCTGTATGAAACGTGTTCCTTTCTGAAGAATGTTAGAGGCGGTTTCAAGGTTCTTGAATATTTTAATGAGTAATAGACGAATGGCTTGTATTTAATACATGTTTACTTAGAACTTCATGCATTAGTTCATTGGGTCTTTCAGTCTCCTAATAGGTTATTAAAGGTTCATCTATGGGAAGAGTGTCATGGTTTAAAAGTGGCAAGTCATGGTTAGTGTTTGCCTTACAATGAGTCTGTAAAGTTACTTGAAGTTAATCAGAAAGTGGGGTGTAGTTATGAATTTTCAAGCGCCAATTTTATAATCCTGTGTCGGAAATTATAATTACCAGTTTTTGTTTTAGACTTTATTTTATGTATTTATTTTTGTAAATAGGCTCCACACCCAACATGGGGCCTGAACTGATGACCCAGAGATCAAGAGTTGCAAACTTTACTGCCTGATCCAGCCAGGCGCCCCCATAATTATCAGTTGTTTAAGGAAAAAAAAAAAAAACCCAGGTTATATCACACTTCATGTGATATTCCCTTATAATAAAGTTTTATTAATTCAGACTGTATTTCTGTAATGTATCTGAAAGGCAGATGCCAGTTCAGCACCGAGAATGAACTGACAGGAACCCCAGACTCAGTTTGATCTTTCTATACACCCAGCTCCTCCACCCTCTTCCTCAGTGCTGTCATCTCAACTCCCACTCTGGACGTCGGTAGGGAATGCTCTGTCTAAAACAGAATATCCGTGATGTTTTAGGAATCAGTGACATTTGAAGATGTAGTTGTAGACTTCACCAAGGAAGAGTGGGCCCTGCTGGACATATCCCAGCGAAAGCTGTTCAGGGATGTCATGCTGGAAAATATACGTCATCTGGTCTCCCTGGGTGAGTCTGCCAACGCATATACGTACATAGATGGGTGGGTAGGAAGTTAGTCAGCAAGTATCTGGAACAGCTTCTGCATACCTGCATACCCACTCCTCTCTCTACCCTGAATCTTTCATAGACCTTACTTGAAAGAAAGTTGTTTCTTTATATTTTACTACATCTAGTTTGTCACCCCACTAGAATATAATTTTGACCACCATTTAATGTCTTTGTTGCTACTCAGTCTCTAACACCCAGAGCAGAACTGGGAAGTCAATATTTCTGAATGCATAAACAAACTGATTAAACATTTTCTAAATAGTTATTCTGCTGTAGTCACTATGTCAAGGGTTGAAGCTAGACTGGTGACAAAAATAGAACTATTTTTGATTATTCTTGCTGAGTTTATTTGGTATCTTTTGAAAGTAATATTCAACCCACTGTGGAGACATTTAACTTCTCTGTTTCTGAAAAGACTGAGGATTCTGCATTCTGTCTTTGAATTTGGGCATGGATCAGCATCCAGAGGTCTTCACTATTTTGGACACACATTTGGATTTCAGTGTTTTTTCCATTCAAGTTGTTGTTGCTTGGACTGGACTTCAGTGTTCTCCTTATTCTTCCTCAGTAGCCTGTCCTGGACTTGATGATGATAATTAGCTTTTGGGAAGGAGAGGATTTTTATTAGTGCAGAATTCAAAACCCATGTACCTTTTTTCAATGAACAGGATATCAGCATTGCAAATCAGATGTGATTTTCCCGTTGGAGCAAGGAGAAGAGCTGTGGAGAGAAGGAACTGGATTTCTCCAAGGCCAGAGTCCAGGTGAGCAGCAGGAACCTGTGCTTCAGTATGAGGAGGTGCCTACTCAGTAGTATGTTCTTGTAAATACCAACTGAAGATTTTGTCAAGTGAGTGATATTTTCTAAAATGTAGAGGAAGGACATTGAAGCAAAATTCTTCAGATGTTGTCATTATTCCTTGCATGTGTCGAACACAATTTATGTTTCCTCTTGCCAGTGTCTTTTTTGGCTTTAAGGGAAGCATATTCATGTACTTAACGAAGTTAAACTTTCACACAGTAACTCCTGGCCTAATATTGCCCTTTGAAGGTTTCCCTTCTCTTTCCCTATTACCTTCATTATAATTTTTTCATAATTCAGTCCTGAAAATCTTTGTGAATTAGTATTCCTAGAGTATTCCTTCATTTGACATATTTGCCCCATCAAAGTGCCAATTTTTGAAACGTACTCACATGGGCCTTGGTGCTTTTCAACATTTTCATTCCCCTGCTGCCATTCTAAATATTTGTTTTGTTTTCAATTATTTTAGGCAGGGAAAGTGCCCTTAAAGAACAAGAATTGATAGCCACACAACATATCAGCAGGAAGGACACATCTACAATCATGCCAGTGGTAAGTTTCATGGGTAGTAACCCTGGTCATCCAAATGAAAGACCTAGAAATAGGGTGTTAGTAATTGAGCACAATAGCTTAATTCATATTAAGTTGGGATTAAGCTTTTTTTGAGCATAAAGTTTTGGATAGTTTGAATTTAGTGAAGAAATTAATCTCAGCCCCAAAACCATAACCTGAGATCTTAAAAAAAAAAAAAAAAAAAGACAACTGCATAAACATTGATTGTATGCCTAGTCTTTGAAACATACTGAAGTGTTCTAAATTAATCTATAATCTATAAGCTCTGTAGTTGGGATGCTACAAAAGAGAAAATCTTTATGCAGGGGAATAACAAACGCATCATGTGTATGCAAGTAACACTAGCAAGATTTTAAGTGGAGACTATCACTGAATGATTAGTTTAGGATTCCTATGTAGAGAAATGAACGTATGGATATGTAGGCCAAGCTTTAACAACCTTTCATCTCTTTCCCAAAAGCAGAAATCTCATACTCCAGAGGATCCCTTTGAATATAATGGTTTGGAAGAAGATTTCACTCATACCTTCATGTTGACTCAGCATTTGTTAACTCACACAGAAAAGACACCTTATATCAGTAAACAGTGTCCAAAATCCCTTAGTGACCAGTCGTACCTTAATCAACATAAGCAAATTCACACCAGAGGTAAATCATGTGAGTGTCATCTGTGTGGAAAAGCCTTTAGTAATTGCTCGAGCCTTAGGAGACATGAGATGACTCACACTGGAGAGAAACCATATGAATGCCATATCTGTGGGAATGCCTTTATTCAAAGCTCTGACCTTAGAAAACACAATCTAACTCACACTGGAGAGAAACCATATGAATGTCATCTATGTGGGAAAGCCTTCAGTCAGTCCTCCAACCTCAGACAGCACGAGAGAACGCACACTGGAGAGCAGCCATATGAATGTCATCTATGTGGGAAAGCCTTCAGTAAATGCTCTGCCCTTCGACGACATGAGAGAACTCACACTGGAGAAAAACCATACGAATGTCATCTTTGTGGGAAATCCTTCAGTCAGTGTTCTGCTCTTAGACGACACGAGGGAACCCACAATGGAGAGAAAATTATGAACATCTTCAGTAAATATTCTGACCTTAGATAACATGATATTAAAAATGTAACGGATGTGGGTGAGACTTCAACCACAGCTTTAACATTTAAACACACCAGAGGACTTGAACACTGAAGAAACTCTAATCAGTGTAGAAGATCCTTTAGTCATTCTTACTCATTTGACGTCCACAAACTTACATGGAAGAAGTCCCTACATGTGACATCTACGCAGCAAACCCACAGCAGACATGAGAGAACTCACTCTGTGAACATAAGGAATGGAGAGGCTTCAGCAACAGTTCTCAACTTTAAACACATTATCGGGCCTGCACAGGGGAAAGCCCCTAGGTCTGTAATCACTGTGAACAGTATGCAGCCAGGCACTAGGCATGGTGCGCACAAGAAAACTCAGTGAAGTCTGAATAAACACTAACACAAGATGTAAGAGGATGAATGCTCTTGAGGAATAACAATTTGTATTGTAGTGAAAAATCATGAGAAACCCTTTGTTCATAGAGAAGCATTTAGGGCACATGTGAGGATTCAGACTGTACACATCACTCAGTGTCGGTGATCACGTATTTCTCAGCCAACATTAAAGTTCTTACATGAGATGGCAGTCGTGAAATCACAGTGGAGAGAACTTCACACAGATTTTGTATCAGGAAACTAAGTCTAGGGAAAAACCTCTAAAATTAGAGCCTTTAACACAGTGTAGCCAATAATTCAGGATTTTGAGAAAAATAACTACTCATGGGGAAAATGTGGCATATAAATGCAAAAAAGTGATCCATGCATATTGAATACAGTTTTGTAAGAGATACTTTTTCAATACGTTATTTCCTGTAAATATTTAAACAATAAACCCTGTTGCTGAAAAATCTCATGTTGTTGAGGTTCTAGTTTTCTCTATGCAGTTGTAAACACATGGGTTTGAGCCTGCACTCCTTGGTATGTGGGTTAGAGACTCAACAAGACTCTGAGTCTCCCCTTTCTCCAACAGCTACTTCCACACAGGCAGCTCCACTCATTCCAACTTGCCACCATCAGCTGGTGGCATAACAGGGACCTTCACCCCAGTTGATAGGTTACTCATTGTGCTATTAGCCTGGCCTAGTAGGACCATGAGCGCAGTATCCCAGATACTAATGTAAACCATGAGGTTGTCTCCAGCCCTTCTGTGCCCCTGGGAAACTTAGTCTTTCCAGACCAAGAACATTCCTTGGAGTTTTTCCATGAAGCTTCTGTGGGGCAGGAGCTCATACGATGACCACATCTTACATCTTACTCGTGAGTCCTGAATTATGCGCCTTCCTGTTCCCCAGAGCCACTGCTATCCCACAGCAGTCCTGCAAAGAAAACTCTAAAACAATAAAATCCCCTAACCTATCAGACAGCACATAAGCCCTTAAAATTAATGTATTCTCCAAACAAAATGAAAGTTCTCACAAAGGCAGTCTCCCTGGCTTTGGTCCCAGGGCTTGGAAACGGACTGCCCTTCAACAAACCCCAATACTGGACCCAAACCTCAAGGGGAGATGTTCTCTAGAGACAACCGAGCTGATTTGTTCTCTTTCCAAGCTGACACAATCCCAGAATCTTAACTGAGACCAATTAAATGATCACATCTCTGGGTGGAACTGATTTATCGTTTTTTAAAAATATCCACAAGTGATTCTACCGTGTAGCCAGGGTGAGTCAAGTCACATGTGAGGACTATGAGCAATCAATATCCAGTATCTTGGCACCCTGGCTGGAGAGGCAGGGTGTGATCAGGCGGGGACACAGGGAGGTGTGACCAAGGGTTGAAGGGAGCAAATGAGTGATTAGAAGTTCAGACCCTCGGGACAAAACATGGGTTCTAATTTCCACTGTTACAGCCAATGAGATTTCGTTACTGAACCTTTCTGTGACTCATTTTCCTCAGTTCTAAAGTGGAAGTATGCTTAGTGCCCTCATCTTAAGAGTTGCTGTGAAGACTTAAAAAAAAAAAAAAAAGTATTGTGAAGACTGAAGACTAATGAGTTGGTACTGCACACACCCCAAGTTATTACACATAATAGGTACTTGGTGTTGGCAAATAATATTTTACAAATTAATTTGAAATGTGAATATACCACTCTGCCTTATTTTTATATTGAAATATTTCATCATTCTTAAAAATATAATCAGGATGTATTATTATATTTGATCTGCTTACAACAATATGTAATTTACCTCCATGCTATAGTTGGTTTTAGGTGTAATTCCAGGCCTCAACTAAATTTGAGACCTATCTGGTGGCTCAGCCAGGAATCACACATCCTCTGCCCCAGTGTGTCTCCAGGAAGGGAGGGGCTGGTCCTGGAGCCTGCTGGGGGTGGGGCCTGTGCTAGTTTTGGGACCCCTAAGATTGATGCACACACCCCCTTCTCAGAGGAGGCCATGTCCCAGTGGGCTTTATCTCCACTGACCTAGGGCTGTAAGTGCATTGGGCAGCTGTACTGAGATCAAGGGACTTCGTGGCAGATAAAGGAAAATTACAGAACTACAAGGTGACAGAACCGCACAACTAGCTTTGTTTGGGTGACACACTGACAACTTGCTGTAAAGGGAAGTCCCACACAAGTCGACTCCTTCCAGAGGCAACAGTGTGGGGCCACCATCCAGAAGGGGAGGATGGAAAGGGAGCTCCTGGGGGAGAGGGGTCTTCACCGTCCAGATGGAAGTGTCAGTCACAGATGGGGAGTCTCTGGGTCAGAACTACAGGGGAGGGGGGGACTGGCTAGCAGCAGCTTAGAGACTTGCACGGTCCATAGTTTACCTTTATGGCTAGCGGACAGTGGGTACAGTGTCACTGTATGCACAACACACAGGCTCTGAATGGTTAAAAATCTAATTCTAGCCGTTCATAACAATTCAGTGTAAAAATGTGAATTTGGCACTGGTGAGTTTTTAAGCTCATGGGCCTGGCCTGCTGCAAAGAAGTAAAAATATGGGGACCATCTTTGGCTCATTTATAAACTACTTGATAATTTCAATAGATTTTTCTTCATATTCACTGGTTATTTCTTTTGCCTGCTCAAATCCAATGCTGCAACCTTTTATTTTTCATTTCAGTTGTACTTTTCAGCTCCAGAATTTCTATTTGATTCCATTTTAAAATTTCTATCTCTTTACTGAAACTCCATTTGGTGAAACAATTGTTTCCTTCAGTTCTTTGAGCATCACTGAACTGTTGGTTTTAAAGCCTCTGTCTAGGAAGTCCAAGGTCGGTGCTCCCTCAGAGATTATGTCTGTTCAATTTTCTTTTCCCGAGAGTGGGGTGTACATTCTTGTTTCTTTATATGGCTCAATTTTTTGTTGAGTACTGGATATTTTAAATATTACAACGTGTCTCTGGAAATCAGATTCTCCTGCCTTCCCTGTGTTTGTTGTTGCTACGTTATGAGGGTTGTACTTGTTTAAAGATTTTTCTCAACTGTTTGTAATAGCTCTTTGTTGCGTGTGGCCCTGAAGTCTGCTCTGTTAGCCTGGTGGGCCCCTTGTGATTTGAGAGAGAGCTCCTGCAATGCCTGGAGCCAGACCACGACGAGGTGCTCTGCCAGTCACTGCAGACCTCCCGCCCCCATGCTGGTGCTCTGCTCCAGAGCTTAGGCAGGGAGTTAACTCCGTCATCCCTTCACTTGCCCTTGCGCCAGTGCTGAAGGCCAACTCACATGGTGCTCTCAGGTGTTAGCCGTGGGCATCAGCATGGCCTTTAGACTGCCCAGCGCACAGGAGATTTTCAGTGCCCTTCGTCCCTCAATTATGTCCCAGCATCTTCCTTCCCAGGCTTTTCGGTCTGCCTCCCTCTGGCCCCTCTGGCTGATCCCTTCCCAGACAGGTGCTGCTGGTATATTTCATTGAAATGCTCTTGACAGTGCCACCCAGGAGCTCCTTAAAGTTCTGAGGCAGCCGAAACAAAAGAGAGCCCCTGAGTCTGCCCCTCGTGGAGCCCCCAAAGAGGTCAGAACACACGACCACGATTCTCTGAGAACAATCAGTCTTGCTGGCACGAGCACACTGTCCCAGGAATGTGGACCCCTGTCCTCATGGTGGCCACAGAGCTGGGGAGTGTGGCATGGGAGGTGTGCAAGCCAAAACACCACCAGCCTGTTTACCGAAATTAAGTAGTTTTTCTTCATTAAGCCTTTGCCCAATTATCTAAACTACCAAGAGCTCATTCTCCAACTTTTGCAATTTTTGTTTTCCTAGTTCAGTTCTGCTTTTCCTGTCATCTCAAGATTTTGACTTACTTATACTCTCTAAAAAAAAATCTTACTAAAAACAGGTAAATATGTTGTTGTATCCAAATTCTGAACCATTTTTCCTGAAAGATTCATTTTCATTTTATTTTACTACCTGAAGCACCCAACTAACTGCCTTGTATTTAGAGACAATACCCATTATCATGTGTAACGTATTTAAATACCCCTACCTTTATTTTCTAGACAAACTACAGTATAAAAAGTATTAGCATGCATTTCTCTGGGATAAGTTTTAATCTATGACCTGTAAGAATTATGGGAAATATTCTGCTGCTGGGGTTTTGGGTTTTTGTTTTGTTTTACCAGGACAAAAATTTAGTATAACCCTACATCTAGTCTATATTTTAATTACCTTCATTTCTAAAACTAGAATACAAACTCCCAGAGGAACCTTCCAGTTTTCTCCTCTCCGTCATATTTTACTAACACCCAGCAACAGAACTCAATTCAAGACTTGGAGCTTTGGCAAAGCTGTTTTCCAGACCACAAATACTCTTGTGGTTAGTCAGTTTCAAACACTGCTCGCATGTCACTCCTTCATAAAACCTGTCTTAATTCTATCAGCCCAAGGTCCTGTACCCTGAGACCTTTCACAATACCTCCTTTTCATGTCTCTATTACAGGTTTTATTTCACCACATCACTTCTCTAGAGAATTCTGGTCGAGGTTTTATTCAACAAAAACTCTGTACATGAAATGTACCAGGCATTGGTCTGAGAGCTCAGGATGCAGTGATGAACACAACAGAATTACCCCTGACCTCAGAGTCTGGTGGGTGTTGTATCCAGATCTTGTCTTGAGAAGCAGCAGTGCGAGGCATTGGTTCCAGAAGCACACTCTGGAACTACATGCTGCACGGTCTGAAGACCATCTCTACCACTTAGAAGCTGTGTGACTTTGAGCAACTCATTCTCACCATTTATTAGTTGTGGATGATATTTCATAGGTTTTTTTGTGAGAATGAGTTAAATCATGTTAACGCATTTACAAACATAGATGGTATATAAGAATTCAATTAATATTTGATATTTTAAAAAATCACGATGTTTCCTTGGAAAGCTTTATTAAATATTTCCACATTGTTCAAAATATCATAGTACAGTGATTAGCTGCATAGACATTTATAATCATCATAATATGTTGCTTTATTATATATATAACTTATACGTGTTTTATATGTGTATTAAAACATATGCATTTGATAAATGCCACTAATTTGATTGATGTCATTAATTCATGTAGGAAGTGCTGTGACTACATTTGAATTGATGCCCAATGGGAGGTCTTACGTGTTTATAAGTAGTCTTTAGAAAAGACATGAGATTATCCATCTGCTCACTGATTTGACACACAAGAAATGTGTACCTATCATCTGTACAATATTTGAGGACTATCCAACTTAAATGGAATAGAAAAGTTTTACACACAAATTATGACTTAAGCAAAGCAGAGATCTCCCATAATCATGGGGGCAGCATCTGATATCTCTTACAAAATAGTCTGCCATTTTTATGGCTTTATGAAAAGCCATCAGATCTTCATGGTGCTAAATTCTGTCTACATTCTTACAAACAGGCAATTTTCTATTAGTTTGATA